TGTGCAAACTTCAAACTTCAAAAATCAAACTTCTAACATCAAACTTCTGGAATTAAACTCCAAAATCAAACTTCAAAAATCAAAGTTCAAAAATTAAACTTTAAACATCAAATTTCAAATATCAAACTTCTGGAATCAAACTTCTGGAATCAAACTTCAAGCCTTAAACTTCAAAAATCAAACTTCAAACATCAGATTCAAAAGTCAATTTCTAAACATCAAAATTTAGGCATCAAACTCCAAAGAAGCAAAATTAAAGAAATCGAACTTCAAACATCAAACTTCCAAAACTTCAACAGTTGGAATCCCACTGACCCGTGAGTAGCGGTCGGCGAGAGGCACGGTGGCCTGGCCTGAGCCACATGCAGCGTCAACTGCCAGGTCAAACTCCGCGCCGTTCTCTTCACAGAACGTGAGCAGCTTGCGGTACAACTCCCTGGGCACAGACGGCTTGATGCGGGGGTACAGGCCCACTATCTCTGGCTCATCGTAAGGGTTGTACGTGTTGGCTTCTCTACTTCCCGCTGTCTTGGTCAGCTCCTGCTCTATGTCTAGTGTCGAGGCGTTGCGGGCTGGAGGACTTCCGGGGTAAGCAGACGTGAGTGGTAGAGCGGAGCGGGCCAGAAGTGTACGCGCTGAGACTTTTACGGAGGGAGCAGCAAGGACTTTCATCAAGGTCGTTAGACTCATTTTTGAAGACGTTCACTCTTTGGAAATGTTGCAGAAAATTTTGTGGAACAATCTGAGGAAGGATGAGAAAAGGAAGGAAAGTAGATGTGACTGCTCCGGGACAGCAAGATGTTGCTTGATGAGTTTGTTCTAACTGTGTTACTCTGTTGTTTGTTCTAGTAAGGTTTTACGGCGCTCGCAACTGCATGAGGTCATATGAGCACCAAAGGGTGGATGTCAACAGAGAAGTCCAAACGGGGAATCAGGCTTACTCTGCTCACCTCTCTAGCCTCAACAGCACAAAGTCTGATACGACTTTCAAGGCACCCCAGAAATAGCGGGTCACAAGAGAGCGACAACATACAAAAGAAGTAGAGGGGAAAATGGCGATAGTAAGGATTGGGAAAGAAAAAGCAGCAGTTCCTTGTTGCAGTTCAGGCCCAGTTATGAGCATGACATTGACGAATCAGTCCATTCACAATAACAATTCTACTGTGAATAAGAACATGTTAATGTCCCCTCCCCCCCTTTTGGGAATGGCCTAAAGACAATTCACTCGGCAGTGTGATCTACTGTACGAGATACAGAGAGCGGGTAGTTGGGGGCTGCCTCTGAAGGGTTCTTCTTCTTTACTTATGATATAGAATTTGTGAAGCGTCGTGGTGAGTTCATCCCTTGAGCACAGTTGAATAGTAAATTGGCTGATTTATCAATGTCATGCTCATACTGCGCCAGAACAACATGGGGGAACTGCTGCTTTTTCTTTCCTCATCCTTACTATCGTCATTTTTTCTCTACTTCTTTGGTATGTTTGTAATTCTCTTGTGAACTGCTATTTCCTGGGTGCCTTGATGGTCAAAGCAGACTTTGTGCTGTTGAGGCTAGAGAGGTGAGCAGATTTTGGACTTCTCTGTTGATATCCGCCCCTTGGCGCTCATATGACCTTATGCAGTTGCGAGCATAATAAAATCTAACTAAAACTAAAAAGATGAATTCGTGTGCTCCTCCAAAAAATGAAATCCAAGAAATCGAACACGTCGTGGGTTATTCGTCGGCCAGCTGGCCAGGTGTCCTAAACCAAACAGTTTGATTTTTGTGATGTTGCAGTTTCTAAACCTGTGTTATCTGTTGCATGTCGTGCTGAGAACATAATATTTTGCCAAAATTCAAATTCGAAATGTTGAAAAGGCCTAGATAAGATACATCTTTTCTGTCCAGTTCCCAGCACATTTGTTTGGTATTTCACCACGAACACACACACAAACACACAGAGACACACAGAGAGAGAGAGAGAGAGAGAGAGA